AATGTGTACCATTTAGGAGATATTTACTCTGGCAGCAGCCTGTGAAGACACCAGCGCATTGGTTCTGAAGGAATGGCATATCCGTGGTGTTCTTTCAGAGCCCAGTGCCATAAAGAGTGACTCCCGCGTGCAATATTAGCTGTCTGCCAGTCATGGACAGGATGAGTTTTAGACAGTTTTGCCATCAACCCTGTTTTACAAACACAAATAAATTGGTGCCCCTCCTGCTGTCTTCATGTGCTAAACAGACTTTTAATGAGAAAAAATTACATTCAAAGAGTCTGATCATTAGGGTTTTGTATGGCTAACTTTCTGGAATTACAGAAGGATGCTGCTTTTTTTTTTTTTTTTTTTTAAAGATAAGAGACCCCTTGTACTAAAAGATAGTTATTTTCAATGTTGCAACAATACAATATACCAAGAGTTGCCAAACTTTTAAAACAGAAGGCCAGTTCACTGTCCATCATACGGTTTTAGGGCAGTAAAAAAAAATGCCTCTGTATTGGTGGTCAGTGCAAGTAAAAAAAAATGACCTTGGTCAGAGTAGAAAATGCACTACGTCGGTGGTCAATTGCACTAAGAAATGCCCCTCTGTTAGTGATCAGTAGCAGTAATAAATGCCCCTGTATCAGTGCTCCATGGAAGCAAAAATGTCCTAGTGGTCAGAGGGAGTAGAAAATGGCACTGCATAGGTGGTCAGCAAGAGTACAGCCCTGGCCAAAAGTTTTAAGAATGACAAATATTAATTTACCTGCAAGGAAACATGTGCAGTCATCATTGCTTTGCACAAAAAGGGATTCATAGGCAAGGATATTGCTGCTACTAAGATTGCACCTAAATCAACCATTTATGGGATCACCAAGAACTTCAAGGAGAGAAGTTCAATTGTTGTGAAGAAGGCTTCAAGGTGCCCAAGAAAGTGCTAGAACTGTCTCCTAAAGTTGATTCAGCTGAGTGATTGGGCCACCACCATTGCAGAGCTTGCTCAGGAATGGCAGCATGCAGGTGTGAGTGCATCTTCACACACAGTGAGGTAAAGATTTTTGGAGGATGGCCTGGTGTCAAGAAGGGCAGCAAAGAAGCCACCTTTCTCCAGGAAAACATCAAGGACAGACTGATATTCTGCAAAAGGTACAGGGATTGGACTGCTGAGGAATGAGGTAAAGTAGTTTTCTCTGAAGAATCCTCTTTCCGATTGTTTGGGGCATCTGGAAAAAACCTTGTCAGAAGAAGAAAAGGTGAGCACTACCATCAGTGATGTGTCATGCCAACAGTAAAGCATCCTAATCCCATTCGTGTGTGGTGTTGCTTCTCAGCCAAGGAAGTGGGCTCACTCACAATTTTGCCTAAGAACACAGTTATGAATAAAGCATAGTACAAAAACAGCCTCCGAGAGCAACTTCTCTCGACCATCCAAGAAAAGCTTGGTGATGAACAATGCCTTTTCCAGCATGATGGAGCACCTTGCCATAAAGCAAAAGTGATAACTAAGCGGATTGGGGAACAAAATATCTAAATTTTGGAACCAAGGCCAGGAAACTCCCAAGACCTTAATCCCATTGAGAACTTGTGGTCAATCCTCAAGAGGTGGGTGAACAAAAAAAAACAATCCCACAAATTATGAGAAATCTCCAAGCATTGATTATGCAGGAATGGGCTGCCATCACTCAAGATGTGGCCCAGAAGTTGATTGAGAGCATGCCAGGGTGAATTGCAGAGGTCTTGAAGAAGAAGGGTCAATACTGCAAATACTGACTCTTTGCATATACCTAATGTAATGGTCAATAAAAAGCCATTGACACTTATGAAATGCTTGTAATTATACTTCAGTATACCACCGTAACATCTGACTAAAAGATCTAAAATCACTGAAGCAGCAGACTTTGTGAAAATTAATATTTGTGTCATTCTCAAAACTTTTGGCCAGACACAGTTTTCAGTAGAAGTAAAAAAAAAGCCCCATGTTGGCGGTCATTGGGAGTAAAAAATACCCCTATGGCAGTGGTCTTTAAAAGTTAAAAATGCCCCTTCACAGTTGTCAGTAGAAGTAAAGAAATGCTACTAGGTCAGTGATCAGTGCCACTACATGGTGGTTGTAAACAAACTGCCCCTGTCTCAGTGGGAGTAATACATTTTACTGTGTCAGTGGAAATGCTATTTCATTATTGGCTTTCAGGGGCTTTCAGGGCCTACTTCATGGTCAGGACTATACAGACACTATTGGGAAAAATATCACAGGCTGCCAGAAGGGTACTGAAATGCTGTGTTCTAGTGGCCAACATCTGTTGTCCCTCTGCACCGCAGCTCCCCCAGAAAAGAAAGCCCTGCAAAAAGGACCTTCTCATGGCAGGTGCCAATCTATGGCATCAAGTGAGCTGTAACCAGTCTGTGGGTCTTAGTTTGGAAACTTCTTTAATATACTCTTTATTCCACATACCATCAGCAAAGTTCTTTTTATAATGAAATGCTTCTAAAATGTATAAATTCAAACAACATCAACAAGCTACTAATGCTGAGATCAGCTTACTGGAAAATGATAACCAAAAAACACTAGAAGGAACCCAGAGGGCATGTTATACTATATTCAGTCATTGAAATATTTTCTACAATTATCCCAAGCAAAAAAAAAATTAACTGTTTAAAAATAAATGTAACCATGGAATTCTATGTGGTTTCATCTGATAAATCACAAAAGGGAAATCATAATAAAAATGGCATATGTACACATTATAAAAAAAAAAATGAACAAGCAGATATCAAACGCAATACCAATAAAAATGACCAAATAAAATTTCAGTCAACACTACACAGACAAAAGTCCAATTTAAGAGCAAGCACTAGACACAGTTTAAGGTAAACTGCTGAAAAATACCTGCATTCTAAAAATTGCTTGGCTATAATGTAGATTCTCTGGCTTCCAACGCTTTCTGAACCACTGCCCTGGAAAAAGCATACAGCAAACAAAGTCAGCCTGAATCAGCTGAATTAACTACACTATATATTAACTTCCCTAGCGGTCTTATTATGTCAGTATTTCTGTGCTCAAAGCAGTACATTTTTTTGCATGGAAATATGTTGTTTTTTTTATTGTAGGCCTGTAATTTTTAGGAATAACTCACTGAAATCTGTCCGAACAAGAGTCTAGTAAACATCCCGGGTATGATAAAATTTGAAACACAAAATCATAAATTATAATTTAATAAATGATCATAAAATAATATAATAATAAAAATAATTCAATAATGTAAATCAAACCAAAAACACTGAAATTTAAAATATAGCGCCAAGTTCGCACATCACTGAGCAAAGTTGCAAAATCATTTTCAGTGCCTGATGACAAATTTCCCCACAAATCAATATCACTCAATTCTGCAAGTGATTCTAATTTACTATTGCTGTTCTCTAGCTGGTCTAAAACCACTTTTTTGGATGCCATGGACATTTCTCAGTTTCCAGGCAGAAAGAACAGTAAAAATGCAGTCAGGGCACAGGACAAAGCACTCGGGACAAAATGTATGTGAAATGCTTTGATACAGTAATGTTATACTTTGTGATTTTAGTGAATGTCACTTTTTGACATTTTTAAATTTCCCGCCAGTTACGTCCCCGTACGTCCCGACGTAGCAGAGAACAGAACCCGAATGACAGATGCCGGCATCGGCCGGAGGAGATGGCCGGGGACGCTGTAGGGGGGACATCGCGGGAGCGCAGGACAAGGTAAGTGCAGAAGGGATCCCGGAGCAATGCTGCAAGGTATTCCTGAGTGTAGCTCGGGGTTACCGCTTGTGATGCTGAAACTTTACCCCGAGCTACACTCGGGAATACCTCCAGGGAGGTTGGTCACTTCAATACCGGGCACTTATACTCCCTTCCCGCCCAGGCCAATTTTTAGCTTTCAGCGCTGTCGCACTTTGAATGACAATTGCATGGTCATGCAACACTGTACCCATATGACATTTTTATCATTTTTTTTCACACAAATAGAGCTTTCTTTTGGTGGTATTTAGTCACCACTGAGTTTTTTATTTTTTGCTAAATAAAACAAAAAACACCTAAAACTTTTGAAAAAAAAAAACACACACGTTTCTTCGTTTCTGTTATAAAATTTTGCAAATAAATAAAATGTCTTCATAAATATAGGTCAAAATGTATTCTGCTACATTTCTTTGGTGAAAATAATAATAACTGAATCTGTATTTTTTTTACAAATGTTTCTATTATTTTTTATTACATTTTTTCTTTTTTTTACTATTTTATTTTTCAGCAAACTGTGACCAAACCAATACAATGTTACGATAGTAACACTGAACTACTCTGGGCAAGTGATCAGGATTTTTTTTTTTTCTTTAACACATTATGATTTCTAATACCAATGTATTTCATTGATATTTGCAATCATTGTTACTGAATAAAAATGATTCATTCAGTCTTTTGTTGTAATTAGCTGTGATTAGGCAAAGCTGATCACATGATACAGATAGGCTGTGATTGGCCCTGTCTGTATCACGTGACTGCCTTGACCAGTCACAGCTAACAACATATCTGTATACAATGGATGGCATGACAGGAAGCCATTCATTGTATACAAATGATATGTGATCTGCTGTGATTGGTCACAGCAGTCACATGACACTGGCAACAGGCCGGTGTAGTGATATGTCATCGGCTGTGTCCCAGAAAAGTCTAATTGAATTTTCATGACATCATCTCTGTAATTCAAAAGATAATAGCATCTCCTCTGTCAAGGAGGAAGCATAACAGCAGGAATTACATCATATCCTCTCCTTTCTCGCTGCAGTAAAAGGAAACTACAGTTACCATCAAGTGAATGTCGGCGGGTACACTAGGCCTGTACATTTTTAACCGCCTCCCGCCCACCATATAGTACGACGGGCGCAAGGCGGTTCTCTCGTTCTGGGAGGATGTCATATGACGTGCTCCCATTCTAAGCGCGCAGCGCGGCAATAGGCGGTGTGCTGTGTCCCTTGGACACAGTGGATCACTGATCAACGGAAAGAGCCGAAGATGTCGGCTCGGTCATGTGAACAGCTGTGTCCAATCACAGCTGATCACATGTAAATAGGGAAATGCCGGTTATTGATGTTCCTCACGAGCTGTCACGCAATCAGTGCCACCTATCAGTGCCAGTCAGCACCACCTATCAGTGTCAGTCAGTGCCGCCTATCACTGTGCATCAGTGCCCATCAGAGCTGCCTATCAGTGCCACCTAACAGTGCCAGTCAGTGCCGCCTATCAGTGCCTATCAGTGCCATATATGAGTGCTGCTTTACAGTGCCCATCAGTGATGCCTGTCAATGCTCATCAGTGCCACCTATCAGTGCCTCCTCATCAGTGCCCATCAGTGCAGCCTATCAGTGCCCATCACTGCAGCCTCATTAGCGCACATCAGTAAAGGAGAAAAATCACTTATTTACAAAGTTTTATAACAAAAACTAAGAAAAAACTTTTTTTTTCAAAATTTTCAGTGGTCTTTGGTTTAAGAAAAAATAAAAAACCCAGAGGTGATTAAATACCACCAAAATAAAGCTCTGTCACAAAAAATGATAAAAATTTCATATGGGTACAGTGTTGCATGACCGCGCAATTGTCATTCAAAGTGTGACAGCGCTGAAAGCTGGAAATTGGCCTGGGCAGGAAGGGGGTATAAGTTCCCTGTAGGCTAGTGGTTAATATGTCTGAGAGTCTTGGTCTGCCCTCCACCACAAGTGGGGCTGAATGACATCACTGCTTCCTGGAGAAAGAACCACAGAAGGGATGTGCCAAGACCAGTGGCTGGGGGAATAGGAGACATAGCAGGAAACCAAAGAGAATTAACAGTTTGATTTGAAAATGAATAGGCTATTTCAGAGCAACTACTGAGTGAACCAGAATATGGATGACATATTCAGTGAAGGTAGGAAATCAGCAACAAGGTGTTTTTGCCCATAGTTCTGCAGCTGTTCATGGTAGCCAATCAGCTTCTAACTTCAGCTTGTTCAATTAAGCTTTGACAAAAAAAAACAAAAGACCTGGAAGCTGATTGGTTTTTATGCAGAGCTGCACAAGATTTCACCAGATGCAGAGCTTCCCTGTCGTGGGCCACAGAGGGAAAGATTCCACAAAACTATGCCATAGTTTGGCATACTGAGCTAGCTGACGAATGGTATATATGGTTTTATCCTATTATTACACTGATAAAAAGCGCTGTGTAAATTGACGGCTCTATAAAAGTACCAGTAATAAAATAAAAAATTACCCATGTAAATTATGTGTACATACATTGACTGTTTTTTTTAAATGCTGTATTTAATAAAACTGTAATATTTTAATTATTTGTCCCAGTTTGAGGAGGAAGGGAAATGTTTGTATTTACCACCAAGCTACTCATTCACTCCCTTGTTATCTCTTGCCTTGACTATTGCAACTCCCTTCCCATAGGCCTACCTCTCCGGAGGCTATCCCCTTTTCAGTCTATCCTGAATGCTGCCGTTAGACTTCTCTATCTTACCAACCACTCAGTGTCCGCAGCATCTCTCTGCCAATCCCTCCACTGGCTTCCAATTGCCCAGCTAATTAAATTCAAAATGCTAACAATAACATACAAAGCTATTCACTACAAGCTACATCATCCAATATGGTCTCCAAATAGCGCCCAAACTGTCCTCTCTGATCCTCTCATGGTCTCCTGCTCTCAAGCTCCAATGTCTCTCCTCCCATGCTCCTCTCCAGGACTTGGCCGGAGACTCTCCCATCCTCTGGAACTCTCTACCTCAATCTGTCCGGCTATCCCCTACCCTGGCTGCCTTTAGGCAATGCCTGAAAACTCATCTTTTCAAAGAAGCCTATCATGCCTCCAATTAAACACTTTTTTTCCATCAGCAAATCCCCCACAGCTATGACCTTTTGTACCACTTGCCCCACCCAATTAGACTGTAAGCTTTTATGAGCAGGGCCCTCTTAATCCTGTTTTTTATTGTATTGTAACTGTACTGTCTTCCTTTATATTGTAAAGTACTGCGCAAACTGTTCCATCACACAGAAATTAACTTTCTCCAGCCTAATATTTCTGCAATTGAATTATTTAAAGTATAACTAAAGGCAATTTTTAATAAGTTTTTGATTGAGTAGAGAGGGATCAGAACACCTGTTTTTTATTGCCGTCTGTGTCCCCATTAGCAAGATTCCCCCTCTCTATTTGTCCTGTTTACCATTATCAAAAGTGAAAGTAAAAGAAACCCCCAATTTTGGGTTGTCCCCATAAAAGTAATATGGGGAAGATTTTCCAATGGGGGCTCTAGTTCTGGTGACCTGGGGGTCCCTAAGGAATTCTCTTAATTTGCACAGATTTTCTCACTTCTTGATTTGGCTATGGGACAGGAAGTGAAGGTAAATCTCCCCAATGGGATACAGATGGCAAAAACTAAACTAACAGGCGTTATAACCCTCCCTTAGTCTATCCAAAACTAGAATAGAAAAAACACTATAGTTATCTGCATGTCTGACCTTTGACTACTTTTACCAACCAAAATACAGAAACCTCCTACTTGAAAACTAAAATAGAAAATAACATACTGCACAGAATCATTTTTTCTTGTAGTATCTTGCCTTCTCAATCTTAGTCTTTTGGTGTTCTTAAAAGTGTAGGGACAGCTAGAGCAGCGTTTTTCAACCACTGTGTGCCGCGGCACACTAGTGTGCCGTCAGATAGGTGTGCGTGGGAAAAAATTTCCAAATCTGTAAAATGGCTTCGGCTCATCATTAGAATCAATGATTTCATGTCGGCAAGGCCCTGACATGCGGCTCTGTACCCATTGACTACTTTTGCTCCCCTCCTCCTCTCGTCGGTTCGGACCGCTCCCCAAAAATACAGCAATCCTAGGGGGTTTAAAAAAAAAAAAAAAAAACTAGAAGGGGGGGGGGGGGAATAGTACTGTGGGGGATGAAATACTATTGAATTACTTTTGATGAGGGATGAAATACTATATGGGGTCACTGAAAGTACTATAGGGGGATGAATTACAATAAAGGTTTACTATTGAGGGATGAAATACATATATGGGGGGCGGATGAAATACTATGATGGGGGGATGAAATACTAATGGGGGGCATGAATTACTATAAGGGATCATGTTGAAATCACTATAAAGGATGAAATACTATATGGGGGATGAATGCTACATATGAGGGAGAATATGAGGGATGAAATACTATATGGGGGGATGTACTCTATGAGGGAAAAAACAGTACTTATGGGGGGAGCCTGCAATTACTTAATCTTAGTGAATCTTACTTTAATTACTATGGGGGATGAATTACTATATGGGGATTAATTACTTGCTACTATGGGGGAATATTACTATACTTACTATGGATGACATACACATCATTCATAACTCTTGGTCCGGCCCCCGGGTCCAATTATAAAATACTTTATTATTTCATAATATTAATTTCTTTGTGTTTGACAGCTTTATATATATGAATCACATAAATTTTTTTAAACATTTTCTAATGGTGGTGTGCCTCCCTTTGCAGTTTATAGAGGTTCTCAATCCTAGCATGAATCCATTACCAGTTTATGGAACGCATTTTCACCTTCACATCGAGATAATGAAGGGTCTCTGTACTATATTCAACTGTAAAATTAAACTTATTCAACCAATTAACAACATGAAGGAATTCAGTACACGTCCTATACTAGCCTATGAAAAGCTAATTAATATACAGAGAGTAAAATAGGTATTAAACACGTCACCATTTTTCTCAGTAAATATATTTTTAAAGGTACTATTGACATGAAATTTTCACCACATATCGGTAACAACCATGCAATCCATACATACAAAGAAACCAAAACATACGTTCAGAAATGAAGTGTAATGTAATTTGTGTAATCAAATTAAATGAGACAGGGAAAAAGTATTGAACACACTAACTGAAATGTATTTAATACTTTGTACAAAATCCTTTGTTGGTAATGACAGCTTCAAGATGCCAACTGTATGGAGAAACTAGTTGCATGCATTGCTAAGGCATGATTTTGACCCATTCTTTCACACAAACAGTTCCAATCTTGAAGGTTCCGTGGGTCTCTTCTATGAACTCTGATCTTTAGCTCTTTCCATACATATTCTATTGGATTGGAGTCAGGTGATTGGCTGGGCCATTCCAGCAGCTTTATTTTCTTTGAAACCAACAGAGTTTTCTTGGCTTGGAATGGGCCAAAATCACACCTGAGCAATGCATGCGACTACCCGTGTTTCCCCAAAAATAAGACACTGTCTTATATTTTTTTTGGCTCAAAAAAAAACCCACTAGGTCTTATTTTCAGGGTAGGTCTTATTTTTTAAATGTCCAGGTGTGGACAGGGGGTGCAGAGGTGAGCTGCAGGCAGTTGTGGATGAGGGTTACTATGGAGAGTGCCGTCTGATGACAGGTGTTGCAGGGGTGACTTGACAGGTGAATTTCAGACAGGGTGCAGATATGAGCCACAGACAGGGTGAAGGGGTGAGTTGCAGATGGGTAATGCAGAGGTGAGCTGTGGCCAGGGGGTGCAGAGCTGAGCTGTGGCTGGGGGGTGCAAAGGTGGGTTGCAACTCAGCTCACCTCTGCACCCCCCCCAGCCGCAACTCACCTATGCACCCTGTCTGCAACTTACCTGACTCAATTTACCTCTGCAACACCTGACTGCAGCTCACCTTTGCACATCCCCCCTCCCCCTCCAGTGCCCTCATATGGTTAGCTAGCTTTGCAAAACACAGCTGTCAGCAGCCGGCCCCTCTCTATAGTAACTCCCGTTTCGGGTCCTATCTTCCCACACAGTGCACCATGCACACTTACCGCTCTGTCTCTTCCCCACTGGCCAGTGATCACCCCTGGGGCATCAGCTTCCATGTATTAGGCTGCAGGAGGAGATGCCCCAACTCTATACACACTGCATACTGCAACCGCAGATATCTGTTCCTTCCCTGTCCCACAGCGAGTACAGAGGTAGGGAGGTTCTGTGGGAGCGGATGATGCTGTCACTTCAGCCGCGCTTCTGTGTTTATAAGAGACAGCAGATATGGGTGTGCGCAAGGCCAGTGTCGGAGGTGGCAGAATGGCGTTCCGCCATGTTCCAACTGAAAAAATGCCCTGATCACAACTAGGTCTTATTTTCAGGGTAGGTCTTATACTTTAGCAATTCCCAAAAATAGCACTAGGTCTTATTTTAGGGGAAACAGGGTAGTTATAATACTATTTTTCCTGTGCCATTCCATTTTATTACACATAACTTAATTTCTTAACGTATTTGTTTTGTATGTATGGAT